ATGAAGATGAAGAAGATGTGGCAGGGAATACTGTAAGTTTGTCAGTTTATCTGCTGGTCGAAATATCTATGGTTCTGCAGGACGTCGAAATGAAAATCGAAGAAGGGGTGGGCAAATGGCCCCGTATCGAACGTCACACTCCTAAATATGCGGACGGTCGGAGGATTTCGGCTCCAGCAGTTCTAGCACACGGTCTTTTTGAAATTGTAAGTTCCCCCGAAAGTGTAGTTTACTGTCTTATGCAACGTCATCTCGACCTTAGGACTCTGTGACTCTGCTCCTTATCAGTTAGCAGATCAGTTCGGAAAAAAGAAAAGCGGGGTATGAAAGGGCGGAAAAGGGTGGACTTCACCCAAGTGAATAGAGCGAATTTTTTTCATTTTTTTAATGAAATTGAGAAAAACAAAAAAATTTTAAATAGATCAAAACATTAAGGAACCGGTTTCACCTTCTGCTTTTGTATTGTTGTTTGAAAAAAAATCAGTCCACCAAAAAAAATTTTTTTGCTGCAAACAGTTTTTTTTTCCACAGTAACTACAATTTTCTTATCATTTATCACTATATCCATATCTTTTTTTGAAAAGAATCACTAGAAACTGACCCCAACATACATTTGTATGTTGTAGTTTTCTCTCTCCCCCTCTTTTCTTCTCTGCGTCTCTCCGAAAATTGCACTCTCTCTCTCACTGTTACGGTCTCATTAACCTCCACCCACCTCCGACCATCAACATCATCACTTTTTTCGTTATCTTTTTTTCTTTCCTTCTCTCTGATAACAACATTTTTCTTTGAACAATCTTTCTTTTTGTATAAAAGGAGTTGGGAATTTTTTTTTCCGATAATTTTGGCATTTTTTGGAGTTTCTGAATTTTTGAAATTCTGGATTTTTCATATTTTAGATTTCTGAAATTGGTGACATTCAGAATTTTTTGAACTTCTCAAATTTGAATTCTTGAATTTTTTGGAAATTTTGTATTTCCAGAATTGTAGATTTCCTTAGAATTTTTAGTTGCATTTTTTTTTTGGAAATTTTTCATTTTTTGGAATTTCAGAATCACCGATTTTTTTGTTAAATTTAGCTTTTTTTTCAGAATGTCTATGTTTCTGATTTCCTTTTGAACTTCAGAATTTTCGTATTTTCTAAAAATTTTGATTTTTTGGAACTTTCGAATTTTCGCATTTTTGGGAATTTCAGAAATTTTGCATTTTTCAGAAGTTTCGAATTTCTGAAACTCTTAATTTCTGAAGATTTCTTTTTTTTAATTTGGGGATTTCTGAATTCCTGGCTTTCAGAAATTCGGAAAAAAATCAGAAATTTCAATAATCTCAAAAGTTTAGGCAATTCACAATTTCAATATTTCAAATATTTCAGAATTTTTTTTAAACATTTGTCCTTTTCCATTTTATTTCTCAACTTTTTGCAAAAAGTAATGTTTTGACCCAAGAAATTCAATCTTCAGCCTCCTTCAAAAATGCTCAAATGCTGGCTCCTTCTATCCATAATCGGTTGGGTAACAGCCGGAGATGTACTTTTCATTCCTAGTACTTTATATCCAGTACACGGTCAAACAATGGCAGTTTTGGCCAAAGAACTCGTCGATCGGGGTCATCAGGTGACGTGGCTGGAGATTGGAACAAAACAGGTGGCCTAGAAATGTGGCCTAGAAAAAAAACCAGTCCGCTTTCGTTTTCAGTCTGACCTAGTTCTCCCATCGGAAGTGACCCGAGAGTTTTGGCCTGCTCAATTCGGAGATTCCACTCTTCAAGACATTTATCAGTACCGCAATCACTCGTCTCATTCTCAGGTAATTTTTATTTTAGTTTACAATAATAGCAGTTTACAAAAATGACAAAAGGCAGCTCATTAAGAGCTTCAGAATGAAAATAAACATGGCCTATTTTGTTTTTGAATAGCTTGACAAAAGAATCAATTTTGAATTTTTTTTCGAAAAATTAATTTTTCAAATTTTCACAAAAACTTTAGGAAAATTCCCAAATATGCTATTTCTATCCGATTTGCCTCATTATGAGCTTCAAAATGAGTATAAACACGACTATGTTCCTTTAAAGTTGAAATTTGTCTTTAAAGGCGCATAGCGGGCCCAATATTTGAAAATCAAAGAAAGTAGGTCATGATTATACTCATTTCGGAGCTCTCAACAATTCAAATTTAAATTTGACAGTTTGCAACACTATTTTCAGCTCTAGAATGTTTTCGGGAAATGCTGAAAAAATTTTTTTGGAAAAAATATTTTCATTAAAAATTTGTTTTTCAAAATTTCTCAAAAATTGCATGAAAATTTACAAAATACTTAGTTTCATGAAACTTGCCTTATTATAAGCTTCAAAATGAGTATAAACACGACTATTTTCCCTTAAAATTGAAATTTGACATTAAAGGCGCATAGCGGTCCCAAAATTCAAAACTCAGGGAAAGTAGGTCATGATTATACTCATTTTGGAGCTCCCAACAAGCCAAACACAAATTCAGCATTTTCAAATCTTGTTTTCAGCTCTGGAATCCAGAACACCTCAACGAAAATGAGCAAACCACCGGATGGTTGGCATCGATTCGTCTCTGTGATTCGGTTCTGACAAGAAGCCGATCGAAATTTGATCGACTTGTTGAAAAAAAGTTGGAAAATAGTTTCAGATCGAAAAATTCTGTAATTTTGATTTTTCAGATTTTCCACTGTCATCGTCGACGACTTGTACAACCCATGTGGTGTGCTCATAGCTGGACTCAAAAGTCAGTTTTTTCCAAAATTCCAAATTTCATAAAATAAGGGGTTTCATCAAATTTAACCTTTTATGAGTTTCAAAATGAGTATAAAAATGACCTATTAAAAACAGTTTTTTCGAAAATGTCCGTGTCGGGAGCCAAAAAACTCAAAAAAGGGTTCCAGAGCTGAAAATAGGTCTTAAAATTATTAAATTTGAATTTATCTCATCAAGAGCTTTGGAATGAGTTCAATCATGACCTACTTCCCTTGAGTTTTAAATTATGGGCCCGCTATGCGCCTTTAAAGCCAAATTTCAACTTTAAAGGTGGGGGGACATGAAAAAAATAATGTTCTCGAAATTTCGTTCAAAGATGCCCCTCGAGGAGTTGAACTTGTGAGGGCGATGATTGAGGGTGCGGCGCCGCTACCGACTGAGCTACGCGGGCAAAGAGAAAGCGCACGCCCGATTGCATACATAAAGGCGAGGACGACAGCTGTACGCAGAGTGACATTAAGCGTTGTACACCGTCACGGTAGAATGCATACTCTAGCTACAAAAAAACTACGAAAAATCTCCTGTCCCCCCACCTTTAAAGGAACATAGTCATGTTTATACTCATTTCAAAGCTTATAGTGAGTCAAATTTGATGGACTTAATAATTTTGCAATTTTCTAGTTTGTTGTTGAGAAATGTTGAAGAAAAACATTCTTTAAATGTTTTTCTTTTCAAATTTTTAAAAAAGTTTTTCAAAATCAGAATAGGTCATGTTTATACTCATTTTGAAGCTCGCAATCTCCCAAACTCATTTTTAGAGTCCGTCTACATCTACTGGTCGATTACCGGGCTTCGAACCGAATCCGCGTGGGCCAATCAGTCCCCATCACCACCCAGCTACCTTCCGGTCGCTGGAACCGGTCTAACTGATGATCTCACTTTTTCTGAGAGAGTCTACAACGTGGCATCCTATTTAAAGCAGTTGTATCTCCATCAGCATATTGTGCAGCCAAGGGTTGATGCTGTTTTTCAGGTGAGCAAATTTTGAATTTTGGAAATTTTTAGAAAAATCCAAACCGTCAACTTTGGGCCTAATTATCTCGATTCCTGCAAAAGGTATCAAAAGCAGGTCAACTGATAAAATGTTGCTGATACCATGATAAACATTTTATCAGTTAACAAGTTGTTGATATCTCTCATAGCAATTGAGATAATTGGGCTCAAAGTGCATATACAAAATTTGATTTTGACCTTTTTTTGAATAGTAAAGATCATGGTCTTGAAAAATTTGATTACAGTAAGCCGATGGTTCTGAAAACGCTTAGAAGCACAAAACAAGAATAGAGCTTATCGATATTGGATCCAGAACTATGTGCCTCGAAAGCTAATTGGAAGTATGCCACATTACCTCACAACCTGTAGCCCCCCCCCCCCCTCTTTAAAATAATATATCTCGGTTCCTATGAAAGATACAAAAAAACGATCAACAAATAACATTTTTATCATGATATCACCCACATTTCATCAGTTGACACATTTTTGATATCTTTCACAGAAATTGAGATCATTGAGCTCAGCCCAGTTTCTTTCCAGAAGCACTACCCAGGAGTCTCCACGATGTTCGATATCGAGCGAAACGCCTCAATCAACTTCGTCAACACCCCGCCCATTTTCGACTTTTCAAGACCCTACATGCCACGTGTCAACTTTGTAGGAGCAATCCAATGTAGAAAGGCAAAGGAGCTCCCAAAAGAATTTGCGACGAAAATCTCCGAACATCCCGAAGGGTTCGTCGTCCTCTCCACGGGATTCTCAGCTCAATGGACAAAGTCTCCAGAATCCACGCGTCAAGCATATCTAAAAGCCTTCAAATCTTTCCCGAAGCTTCTTTTTATTTGGCAGTTCAACGGAAAGCTTCCAGAAGGTTCTAAAGCTCCCTCAAATCTCATCACAAAGCCATGGCTTCAACTTCAAGACCTTCTGGGTCATGAGCAATGCCGATGCCACGTGTCACATGGTGGATTGAATAGTGTGATTGAGTCGGTGTATCATGGGGTGCCGGTCGTTGGAGTACCACTGACAGCGAGAGGTTATGATAATTTGTTGAGGATCACGGCGAGAGATAGTGGAGTGATGATTGAGAAGTCAGAGTTTAATGGGGACACACTGACGGCTGCGATTCGCGAAGTGACGAAGAATGAGAAGTGAGTTTTTTTTGATTTCGCAATGAAGCACGCTTGCAACTTCTGATTTTTTGAAATGTTTCAAAGTTCAGATTTCAATTTTTAATTTGAAAAAAGTTGAGAAAAAAAGTTTGCAATAGAGCGCGCTTGAAATATTTGAAATATTGAAATTTTCCTTTTATTTCTACACACAAAGCAAAAACCCAAAAAATCCGAAAAATGCTGTGGGCCCTTAGGGACGAGCTTGAGTTTTCTAGTCCCCGCGGTAGAAAAAGCGCGCGAATTTGAATTTTTTCTTTATTTTCAGTGGTTTTTTTTCAGATTTTTTATCAGTTCTTCCTATGTATACTAGCAGAAAAAATGAC